CAATCCACGTTTGAAATTCTTCTGTCATTTTAGTGTTCTGAGTTTGGTTAATGTCCATTGCTGGAGAGTTATTGTTCCTCTTTGGAGGTGTGCTTTCCATTTGAGTCTTCGTACTTGCAGAGTTCTTTCTCTGGTTCCTACCCATCTGGATCAGTTGTTCCTTCTTTCCTTTAGATTTTCATTTGGATAATGACACGCCCTGTTTAGTCTCTGAGCCAGTAGGTGGTGTTTGTGGGTGAGATTTGACCACACCCTTTATGATGAATCAGTAGATGCAGTAAAAGGGTGTGCAGGATGACCTCCCTGTCAGTAGGTGGCACTTGCAGGGAGGAGCGAGCTGCGGTGCTGTTTTGGGGTCCTGTAGCTAGCTCTTGTTCCTCTAGAGAGGCCCTCTTGTGCCTCGGGTGGTGGGTGGTGGGTGGGGCCCTGGGACTTCCAGGTGTGTCCTTATTCTCCATCTCATTGGGGGCAGGACCAGGAGTGAGTCTGGGTAGGGCTGGGTTGGGTATGCCTGCCCTCAGGCTCCGCAACTGCTGTTAGCAGGGGTCAAAGGTCTGTTCTTTGCTTCTATGCAAAGCTGCTGGGAAGGGCTGAAATGGCTCCACTCAGCTGAAAGTCTGGGCTTGGGGGGTGGGGCTGTCCAAGACCCACACTCTGGAGCAGGTCTCGCTCCCTTCCACCCTCCCCCTCTCCGTGGACTCTCCCAGGCCTCTGCCAGCAAGCGGGACCTCAGGCCAATGGATCGCCCCTGGCTGTGACGTGGGCGGGAGTTTCCCTACCCAGAATCGCAGCCTGAGCTGGGTGCACAGCCCTCTTTTAGGGGGAGAGTTGCCCCTCAGGCACGCTGATCTGCCCCTGAAGGCACACACTCCTCAGTAGGCTCTTTCACAGATCTCTCTTCTGTGCCCTGGGGCAGTGCAATCCTGACCTGGGTGTACGGGGTCTGGTCTGCAGGCCTGTCCCCTAGGCCCTGGAGATCAATCCCTGACCCTGCCAGGGGGAGGGGTGCCGTCAAATCACCTACAGGGTGCCCAAGCTGGATCGATTTCACTCCACCTCGGGATTTGCGCCACTCTCCTGGAGTCCCCAGGCAAGCAGCACCTGGGAGGGCTGGCGGGTAGGGAGCTCGCAGTCTGAGTAGCCCTCAGTCTGCTGTACGGCCCCAAAAGGAAAGATCCCGTCCTTGGAGATGCCTCCGTGTGATGGCTAAATTGTCTCTCTGGGCACGCACGGGTAGGGAGGGGGAAGGAGAGAATGGAGCACTATGGCGTCTGCCACTAGGCTCGGGTCTGCGCCCGGGGAGGTGCCCCGAGGGGGCTGGGAGCCTGGCGCTGAGTCCGCAAGAGGCCACTGCTCACTGGCGGTGGCCGTCTCTGGGCTGGTATCGTCAGGTCTCTCCAGCCGCTCAGGAGCCACCAGCAGTCCGAGATGCAAGGGAGGGGGAAGTTAACCACTCCACCTACCCTTGTCGCTGGTCTCCAAGCCTCTCGGGACCTTTCTCCTTCCAGTTCTCCTCCGCAAAGTCTTCCCGTGGAGTCTCCTGTAGGTTCAGGCACCCTTCCTTCTGACCCTCACCCGATCTATGTTTCTCTGCTAGTTTATTTTTTTTTCTCTTTCTTCTAAAATTTGTCTTTTTTGCAGAGACACTCTGACTGGCAGCTTTTCTCGTCCGCCATTTTGGCTCCTCCCCCCATGAATTTTTATATTTCTAATCATCCAGTAGTTCGTATATTCCAAAGGTTATCTCTAAAGCAAGCGTATGTAAAGGGAATCTTATCTAATATAAAGACAGAGATATGTATCCAAGTTGAAATTAGTTGAAACATTTTCGAGAAAGAAGAATTAAGATGACGAGCGTGCCCAGGCCACGTGGGTGTTCTGTCCCAGGAGAGGCAGAATAGAATCGAGAAGTGCTGAGGAGCACGGTCAGGGCCAAGTCGCCTGGGTTGGAATTCTCATTTAGCCACTTATTAGCTGTGTGACTTTAGAGAAGTTACTCAGCCACTCTATGCTTCAGTTTTTTCATCTGCAAAGTGGGAATGGTAACAGAGGAAGGGGCTTATAGGGTCATTGGAAAGATGAAATGGATTAATCCAGGTAAAGCACTCGGAGCTATGACTGCCGAAATAAACACTAGCATTACAGTGAGGCACAGGAGAAATGGGCAGGAGCGCCTTTGAAGCATTTTTCTAAACTTTCCAGCACTTTTCCAGTAGCAGCATTTTCTTCCCAGTGCCCCTCGCTTTCCTTCTCTCCCTCAGACCATAGAAGTTTCATCCGTGCCTAGGAATGATGTGTCTCAGGTTCACCTCCCTGAAGCATTTGCTCCCTGGGCAGGGCCAGTGTCTCGTGGAGCTGTGTCATGCTGGATTAGTGGGGCTGCCTGTCAACACCTGCTCTAGTCCAGTAGTCCATTCCCTGAGTTTAGATGTCATATCATAAAAACATATTTATTTCCCTAATTCTCAGCATGAATACAAATTAAGCATCCCTGATCCAAAAATCCAAAATCCAAAATGCTCCCAAAGCCAAAAATTTTTGAGTGCCAACATGATGCCACGAGTGGAAAATTCTACACCTGACACTTTCACTTTCTAATGGATCGGTTTACACAAACTTTGTTTTATGCACAAAATTCATTTAAAATATTGTATAAAATTGCCTTCAGGCTGTGTGTACAGGGTATATAAGCACAAATGAATTTTGTGCTTAGACCTGAGTTCCATCCCCGAGATATCTCATTGCATATATGCAAATATTCCAAAATCCAAAAATATCTGAAACACTTCTGATCCCAAACATTTTGAATAAGGCATACTCAACCTGTAATTCAATGTTTAATGAAATTATTTTATTTAAGATGAAGGATGCCACTGGTTCTAAGATTGCACCTACATAGAATAAGCTCTTTTTAGTGGAGGTAATTGTTCCTTCAGTCTTTGTACTCCATATAAGTATTATCATGTTTTTAGTTTCACATTTTGGGATTCCCTTTGCTACATTTCATTATTTTTTAATTGAGTTTTTATGGGGATTGAAAACACTTCAAGAAAGGGCACATAAAGTCATATTTCTATTTGGATTGAAGATATGATTCCTTATACTCAGTTCCATTGACCCAGGGAACATCCTGTTTCATTTTCATTCCTCTCTCCATTGTAAAATTGTTTCTTTCTCTCCTTACAGTGACTGGATAAAAAGAGAATCTGTGGCAATTCTTAGAAACTTGACTGCCACAGGAAAACAATTTGGAGGCATTTTGGCTGCACATAGTATATCCACCACACTGAAATACTGGTACCATGGCTCACCACCTGGGGAGATTGTATCTTTAGGAGTACTGAGTGAAGGTAAACCTAAGTTTTTCATATCTTGTAATATTTAAAAACCTCCATGTATGCCTTGTGCTCCTAAGTCTGTGTCCCCACCAGTCTGGCTCTTAACATGCTCTATAAGCTGTCTAGACTTTTATAATTTCATAATCATTCATTCACTCATTCAGTTATTCATTCAGAAATTCAACTGTATTTTGTATGAATGCATTGGAAACACACATAGGAGTTAGACCTGACCTCTGCCTTCAGAAAAACTACAGTAAAGGTGAGCCGGATATATAAACAAAATAATATTGTTAAGTTTTCCTCGTTATGCTCAGCCAAAAAAGGGAAAGCAAGGTCAATTCTAGGCAGGGAGCAGTAAGAATCAAGACAGGCTTCATAAAGAAGATGACAGTCCAGGAAGCCTAAAAGTATGAGTAGCATTGCCTGGAAGACAAGTGTGGAGACAATTCTGGGCACAGAAGGCCACAGGAGCAAAGGCACAAAGGCAGGACACAAAGGGGCACATCAGGACCCACATCTTAGGGTACCAGGTAGCACTAGGGATGTGAAAAGGTTGCTGTCCATCCACAAATACTGGATATAAATTTTTATAGCCTTGATATTTTAATCTGCTAAAAACTTTTCAGAACCCTTCTCTAACATGTTTACAAAACAGGAAAGAGAATAGCTGATGTTCTGTCCTTGGTCAGTTCTATGTAAAGCATCTCTTCCCTTTGTGATTTTCTATGTCCCTTAACAAACTTATTCACTTCCAAAGGTCCTGCCCAGGCCTCTCTGCTGAGCTCTAGCCTGTGAAACATTGCCACCTGGATGTCCTGTTGTCCGTTCCATCCAGCATACACCAAAGTGAACTCACTGTCTTCCTTCCCAATTGCATCTACCTCTTATATTCTTTATGTTACCAGTAGAACCACCACCTTGTCATTGCTCCAGTGACTATGGTGCAGGTTAAAGAAATCTCCCCAAAATCCCCCAAGTCAGAATTAGTCTGTCTCTCCTCTGTACCCGCATAGCATCTTGTTCCTCTGTCAGAGAGGATATAATAGTCTGCCGTTTTTTGATAGTGTGATTAGTTGCGTATGTCTCCTTCGTGACAGTGTAGACACCCTGGGGGCAAGGGCCTTGTCTGGGTCATCTTTCTGCACCTTCATGCGACCAGCATTTTATTCAGTATCTTGTTCAATTAAAGTTAAGTTTCAAAAACAAATACGGAATGACTAGAAGATTTGAAAAACCCTCTAAGGAGAAGTCTTTTAGATCCTGGTTTCTTGACTATCCTCAATTTTTTGCCCTAGTGACAACATTTTTGTTGTGTAGAATGGCAGGAATAATTTTCTTCTGTGATTCAGGCACCACAAAGAGGAGTAACTTTATTTGAATGGTGCTCAGCTAGTAATAAATATTGTCGATCTTCTTATTTAGGGCACATCCAAATGGGGAACTGGGAGCTTCAAGGAAATAAGCAAATATTCTGTCCCTCCTCGCTTTCCCTTCCCAGTCCTTCACACCCTGGCTATGTGACTGCCATAGCAGGCGAGAAGAGTGGAAAGGCAGATGGACAAATGACTTAGGCCCATGGGCTATGTAGGGGTCAAGGACAAGCTATGGCAGAGGCAAAAGGAATACAGACAAGGTTCAGAAGAGAAAGACAGCATTAGCCCCTCCCGGACATGAGAGATGCAGAAGGGAGAATTGTCAGGACACGGATAAGTGCTCAATCAATATTTCTAGAGTGAGTGTTTCAGTCTTCCTTGGAGAAGAATTCTCAGAAATTTAGTTCCATTATTATTTTTCAAAATCGTGTATTATGTCTGTCCTTTTTGACAATGCTTAACCTCACAGGAAGGATTTATTTTTCCGAGTTCTTGTATTTTGCTTTGCTTTGTGTTTGCTCATTGCAGGCCAGTTTGGTATTCCAGAAGGGATTGTCTTTTCTATGCCTGTGAAATTTGAGAGTGGAACTTGGGTGGTTCTTACAGATCTCAAAGATGTAGAAATAAGTGAAAAAATAATGACCAGAATGACGAGCGATCTAATTCAGGTAATGTCAGAATAGATACAAGGGAACTGACTTTGGTAATGACCTTAAACTGATTGGCCCTAGGCCAAGACATACATTGTTTTTCTGTGGGCTCAATTTGCATCTTATTCCTAAAAATAATGAAGCAATAAAAATTTGAAAAAATCAGCAGAAGAATGCTACTCATTTGATTATATAATTTCTGGTATGTTAAAAATATGTGTTGGTTACCTAAAAATCAAGAATCAAAGTGTTTTTCTATTAAAGAATAACTGATTTAGTAACTGTGGTTATTTAATTCTCTGATTATAAATTTTTTTAACAGGAGAAACTTGTTGCACTTGGAGACGTGATAAATTTTCAGCCATACAAATCAGGTAATCTCTTAGATGTGATGTTTTATTGGACTGCTATTAAAAGAGTATTAAAGCATTTGTTATAACTGAATCACTACTAATATAGATAACTCCAATCCATCTTTCACCATTTCTAAACTAAATTAATGAAAAAATAAATTGCTGAGTTCAATGTGTCCTTTGAAATAAAACATCTCATAAGAATGCTAAAGAAAACACATCTTAAGAACACTATGATCTTACAAATTTTGTGTATGCTTTATTTACTAGTTTCCTAGCACTACCATAACAAATTACCACAAACTGGGTTGTTTAAATTTACAAAAATTTATTCACTTACAGTTCAGGAGACTAGAATGCCTGAATCAAGGTGTCAGCCATGCTCCCTCTGAGGGCTCTAGGGAAGAAGCCTTCCTTGACTCTTCGAGCTTCTGGCGGCAATGCTTGCATTCTTGGCTTGTAGATGCATCACTCCAATCTCTGCTTCCCCTTCCCATGTCTGTCTTCTCTCTGTGTGTCTATATTTCCAAACTTCATTCTCCTTATAAAAATACCAGGCGTTGCATTTGGGACCCACCCTAATCCAATACGACCCCATCTTAAGTTAATTATATCTGCAAAGACTCTATTCCCCAATAAGGTCACATGCACAGGTACCAGGCATTAGGACTTCAAGATATCTTTTTGGGAACACAATTCAACTCACAATACCATATTTACTTTTAGATAACTTTATTAAAAAACCAATAAATTTCAATAAGTTTATTTTTCTTATTGGCATTTTCTCTAATCATAAACTCATAAGGAAGGGCTGTCATCTTTCTTTCTTGTCTTTGCCTTAAAGAAAATCCCATCCTAAATTTGGAAATAGACATGTATAAATAAATAAATTTATTTATGAAAAGAGCTTCCATCAAGTGTCTTTGGGAGCTCAACATTCCTTCCTTCCACTAATATTTATCAAGTGGCAACAATAAGCCAGTGCTAGGAGCTGGACAGACAGGGGTAAATAAAACAGACCTGATCGTGCCCTCTTAGAACCTGCAGTCCATCGACGGGCTACACATTATACAGATGACTATAATTGTGGTGTGACAGAGGAATGAGAAGTACAGGGTGCTGTGCTATGAGAGCTTATGCCTGAGGCAGGGAAGTATATGTCAACTTGATTGAGAAAACTGGAAAAAGTTCATGTAGCAGAAGTCTAAAGAGCTGGAGATGAGAGAGAGAGAGCCATGAGGAGTAGATGTGAGAGTTACAGAGGCTTCTGGATGGACAGGAAACTGATCCGGTGTGGGATTAGTTTGGAAAACAGACTTGAACAAGGCGAGACTGTTTATAGAAAGACTAGGATCAGTAGGGTAGTACAATGATGGGTACAGCTGAGACTAGAGGCAGCAGAAATTTAGGAGATATTTAGGAGGTGGAATTATCAAGACTTCATGACACATGGGCTCTCAGGAATCCCGGAAGGCTCAGACTTCTTCTGGTTGAGCATCTGGGTGGATTGACTGATAGGAGGACAAATGGTAAAAAAGAACATCATTTCATTATTTGAGAAAAAGAGATAAAATATGAGAATGTGCTGTGTGTGTGTGTGTGTGTGTGTGTGTGTGTGTGTGTTGTGCATGTGTGTGTTTTGAGTGGGAGAGGAAGGGGTGTGGTGCCTTAGTAGAGGAAGGATGAGTTTGGTTTCTTACATTTTCATTCTGAAATACCTGTGGAGTATCTAAAACAGAAATGTCACATGGAGAACTGCATACTTCCTGGAGCTCAGAAAGATCTGGATTACAGTTGTCAAACTGGGAGTTGTTGCCTCATAAATAGAAATGAAGCCATGAGCATGATGGAAATTATCTAGAAAAAAAGTGAGAGACGAAGGCCTTGGGGAACTTAGCCTGAAATAGTTAGGTAGAAGAGGAGCAGCCGACAGAGGACCGTGAGAAAGGAACGTTCAGAGAGATTGGATGAGCCCCAGAAAACTGTACCGTGGAAGACCTAAAGGCAAAGGTGTTTCAGGAACAAGGGCTGGCCGGCACTGTCGGATGCTGCTGGGGTGTCGAATACAATGAGGCCTGAAAAGTACCCAATGGGTGTATGACATAGGTCATCGATGACGCTGGAAAGAGAAATTTTGTGAACTGGAGAGGGCAGAGGTGAGACCAGAGTGGAAAGGGAGGCCCCTCGCCTCAGGAGCCCCAGTATCGCTATGGAGCTGGTGCACTTAGTGCTGTGGGCCAGAGGAATATGCCGCGTGCCATGAGCGGTGGGGAGGGCACCGTCAGGACTTTGACATGACAGAAGGGCTTTCTGGAGGAGGTGACATCCAAACTGAGTCATGGGAGAAAGAAGGACCAGGTGGGAATGTGTGCAGTAAATGGGAGGTTTGTTCCATTCAGAGGGAGCAACGTATGCAAAGGCACAGACGTAAGGAAGAACCTGTGGAGAACTGCCAATTCATTTACTCATTTTATTCAGAAAATAGAGTTCAAGGTGAGAACCATCAGGAGGAAGGGAGGTAAGCAGTGCTCTTGGTAAAACCAGTGAAGGATTCAGGGGCAGGAGAGGGACAGGAGTAGGTTCTAATTTTAGGACAATCACTCTGTCTGTAATGGGAAGAATGAATGGTGGTGGGGGGACAAGAAGCATCGAGACCAGTTCTGTAGCAGGTAGAGGAATGATGAGACCCTTACCAGAGCAGTGGCCATGGGGATGTAGGGAAGGAGCTAGATTCAAAAGAGATACAATTGATGGAACTTGACCAATCCGAGATCGAGGATAAGAGGGAGCTCAAGGGAATCAGGAATCCTCCGACGTTTTTGACATGTGGACGTATGGTGGTGTCCTTATCTGAGGCAGAACATCCCAAACAGTGGGCCACAAATGGGTTGGAGTGATGCTCTTGACCTCCTCAGCCCTGGGGCACAGAGTCTGGAGCAGCTGGAGCCCCAGGCTGGATGCCTCTGTTGTCCTTGTCATTTGCTGGGTGTGCTGAATCATGAAAATGATTGGGAAGGTACAGTTACAGTAAGGAATATAAGAGAAGCAGCAGAATTTCAAGAGGCATCTAAGTGAAAGTGTCATAGGTGCTGGACACATATCTCTGGAGCTGAGGAGGAGAGAGATCTGAGGTGTACATGAGGAAACCAAGTCATCAGCAACTGGTAGGAATTAGAAGAAACTGCTAACCATGGTGACCTCCTGGAGGAGGGCCTGAGCGGCTGGAGAAGGAAGATTTCTGCATTGTGTGGTCTCTTGTGCCTTTGGATTTTGTTCCATGTGCATGATTTACATAGCCGAAAATATAAAGAGGTGGCTAGATAGACATCTGGATAGTCAGATGTTAATGTTTAACTGCCATTAGAGAGGGAGAAGGTGAAGATAAGAGGGAGGAAAAGGGCTCACAAGACAGTAGTAGAACTCGAGCACAGGATCAACTTCAAACTGAAGGTGTCTTTCCTGCTGAGGCTAGAAAGACAGAGAGAAGGTGGTGGGTGCAGATGCACGTAAGGGTGTGGGATGGGGGAGCTGGAACCAAACAGGCAGCAGGACCAGGTCAAAGACTAGGGGGAAGACTGGGCTCGTAAGGAAGGAGGTGAAGGCATGAAATACAGTCCTGCGCCACATGACCACGTTTCCATCAATGGCGGACCACACAGGCGACAGTGGTCCCATAAGATCCTAATGGAGCCGAAAAATTCCTATCACCTAGCGACATCTCGACAATCCTGACCCTGTGTAGGCCTAAGCTAATGTATATGTGTTTGTGTCTTAGTTTTTAACAAAAATGTTTAAAAAGTAAAAAAAAAAAATTAAATTTT